ATATAAATATATATAGAAAATTTAAACAAAAACACATTTCAGAATTAAACACGCTGTTCTGCTAACGTCAAAAAGAATTTTTTCATCCACCACATACGGACCCCTTTCGTCTTTTTTTCCGTGAAGTTTCAGTCATACTTTCCTAAGGTTCTTCCTCTTTTAAATGAACCTTTCTGCAGACTATTGTCCAATCAGTTTAACCATTCGCACTCCAACAAGCTGGAGAACTGCTCTTGGATCAATTACCAGACTGTTCCCGGCACAGACCATCTCATTTTTGGACAGCTCCAGAAGAGGAGCTACCAACAAAAAAGGCCAGTACATAGAAAGGAGAGGACTCCATCCTCTTGGGGTCTCAAGCCCATGGTCTGTGCCAGCCCACCCACTCATTTCTGAATGCATGGCTTCAGCTGACTTCGTAAGGGACCACCAGGGTATTCTGAACTGGCCTGCTGAAGCCACTGGCCATTTTACACTAACCAGGACCCCTGGGGCTGGCAGCTGAGCTGGCACTGAACAGACGACTTAATTCTCACCCTCAATTACTAACCATCAGACTGCATGGTCAATAAACCTCTGATATGAGATGACTATTTTTGCACAGACTAAGTAGAGAATGGCTGCCTGGTTTCTTACTGCTATGAACTCAATTTTGCCTCTCTTGGTACAAGCTCTGGTACTGGATCCAACCTTGAATTGTCTGAGCAGCTGGAATCCTGCTCTAGTATATTAACAAAGCCAGAAAATACAAATGTGCAAGCAACATTTTTGGGAGGTAGACGGTTGGAAAAAAATCTTATCCAGAGTGTTTACAGTAAAATCCAATACAGAATATTTTCCTATAAACATGCATACAATCCTGGCCAGGCACAGAACAGACTTATACCCACTGCTATCAAGAGGCCCCTCCCCCCGCACCTGAGAGTAGAAGGGAAAGTAAAGCCAACATTGTCACTGCAAAGGTGTAAGGAAGTTGTCAGCTGAGGCAGCAGACTGAGGTCTAACTTGTCTCAGCTGACATGACTCTGCTGCATGAATGTCAGGAGAAATTAATGAAATAATGGAGGCAATAAGGTTATGGGTGAGGCAAATCCAGGAGCTACCAGGGTAATACTTCATGCTCTGTAAACTGGAAGTTGTTTAATCCTGCTATCTACCCATCCAAAGATGCTTCTACTTAGCTACTCAGTCTAAGATGTTGCTTTTAGTGCTCGCCTCTCATCATTAAGAACACTATTAGCAATCTCTGTAGAAAGAAAAAAAAAATCAATGTATCAGACTCTCAGGATGTTTTTATGTTGGGAAGAGCACCCATTAAATTATCATGAAATGTTCATGGATACATCAGAAGAAAGATGATAAATGAAGATCTTACTGTTGAATTGTTGATGGCAACAGAACAGAGGCTTGCCTCGTGGGCAGGAAGCCGGTTTATGTACGTCAGCTGGTTCAGGTCCCAAATGATGCAGGTTCTGTCATCAGATCCACTCACGAAGATGCTGTAGGTCACAGATGCAGCAAGGCAGGTCACTGCCTGAGTGTGCCCATACAAAGCCTGGTGGGGAAAAAGCAACCAATAAACCACAGCAGAGGGTGGCTGATTTAATAGGGAACCACAGTCCTACTGTCATTTGCTTAGTAAGAACAAGCAACCTAGTCATTCTTTGGACAACTGAAAAAGGTATGAGGGGGAAATCCCAAAGGATCTTATAGAAGCACCCTTGTCCTCAACTCGTGGTTGAGGAAAGTTGAGTCTCCAAGAGATTAAATTATTTGCCCCAAGCTGCACACTAACTCAGAACCCTTGGCATACAATTCAGACTCTACGACAGTGCTTTGTGCTCAGCAACAAAACATAATTTTTCACTTCAGTCCATGCAATTTTAAGTAAAATTTATGCTTGGAAAGTACTATTTCTCAATATTTAAAAAACATTTTGAAACAAAACTTACCAGGTTGTACTTCAATGACCTTCCCAGTTTTTTCTTTCTGTTTTTCTAAACAAGTACTAATATTTTTCCAATTCTAGTTACGAAGAAAAACAGCATTTGGGGATAATAAAGCTGTATATGAATTCCCTTCTCTTTCATTATTATACAACATCATTTTTTTTTGTTTGTTTTGTTTTGTAGGTTCTAGAGACATAAGGAGTGTCCAGTTTAACTTAGCCATAAACAGTTTCATAAAAAAGACTACACTTTAGGCAATTTAATAGCACAGGTAAAAATCATGGATAGATGTATACTGATGACAATTGTTTAATGCAGCATTCTCGAGTGACAGCAGTATACATTTCTGCTGCATAACCACCAATAAAAGTAAAGCCTGTAGGGCAACAGAGAAAAAGTCCTTCACAGCTTTCCTAAAAGGCCTTTCGCGCTCAATTTTTAGCTGCCTTACTGTGAAAAATCAGACCCACCAGTTCTAATGTTGGTTTTAACAGTAAATGCCTATTCCCTGCTGGCTTTCTCTACATGACATAATTAGTACATCTTCAGGGTCTGTCTCAGTTCAGCATGGAGCAGGAGAGCCACATGTCCCGGATGATTTTTGCAAACACATCTCATACTCTTTTCCAGCGTGTGACTGTGAGACTGAACTCTTGCTGTCTAACATGTGCTGCCACTTGCCAAGGTTACTAGGACAGCAGCATTCAAACATTAATCCACTGGTGAAGAAGCGGAGCTGCAGCAGGCTATGTACTACTGAAGGTGACCTGCAACTGCAAGGGATGAATTTTCAGCTTATGATTTATTCCATTCACAAGAACTGTCGACTAAAAATACTGGCACAAAATGAGGTCTCCAACAGTGGTCAGAAACACTCTCAACTGAGCATGGAAAAAGAGACTCAGCAATAGCTTTGGACTGGCTGTAGAACAGTCTCTTTACAAAAGACTGGGCATAACCCAGTGCCTGTGCTCGAGAACTGCACAAGACGTCTGCAAAAAGGGCTGGGACAAGGCAGGTTCAAGGGCTCCAAATTTCCTCTTGTGCTGGTTTTCGCTGGGGTAGGGTTAATTTTCTTCAGAGTAGCTAGTGTGGGGCTCTGTTTTGGATCTGTGCTGGAAACAGTGTTGATAACACAGGGATGTTTTCGTTACTGCTGAGCAGTGCTTACACACAGTCAAGGCCTTTTCTGCTCCTCACCCCACCCCACCAACGAGGAGGCTGGGGGTGCACAAGAAGCTGGGAGGGGACACGGCTGGGGCAGCCGACCCCGGCTGACCCAAGGGATATCCCATACCATATGACGTCATGCTCAGCATATGAAGCTGGGCAAAGAAGAAGGAAGGGGGGATGTTTGGAGTGATGGCATTTGTCTTCCCAAGTAACCATTATGCGTGATGGAGCCCTGCTTTCCTGGAGATGGCTGAACACCTGCCTGCTGACGGGAAGTAGTGAAGGAATTCCTTGTTTTGCTTTACTTGCATGTGCGGCTTTTGCTTTACCTATTAAACTGTCTTTATCTCAACCCACGAGTTTTCTCACTTTTAATCTTCTGATTCTCTCCCCCATCTCACCAGGGGGGTGTGAGTGAGTGGCTGTGTGGGGCTTAGTTGCGGGCTGGGGTTAAACCACAACAACTCTCCTTCCTCCAAAGCATGAAGGAAAACGTACCCACTGTGACAGCATCCAAACTGCCAAGTCAAACCAAGATAAGCTCCTGCACAAGTTTTAATAAAACCCTTTTTTTCTTTTTTTAAGTCAGAAAGATCCTACTTGACAGTGAAGTGCTTTAAATACAAGCTGAATGTGGAAGAGAGGGATAGACCTGAGCCCAGTTATAATCTCAGCTTCAATCCACCAGTGTCTCAATGCATATTCATGCAAAAACAGTCGCATGCCTTTAGCTCTCTACCATCTTCTCATTAGTGTTCTGCAAAGACTGACAGGTTTTCCCTTAACAGTAAATATCCTGCAGCATATCTGCAGAAAGAACCGTGGGGCCTATCTCCAGAGTAAATTCACAAATATCAAAAGACAAAAAAGAAGTGAATGCTTAGTCTATGAAAACTTAAACCAAGTTTGACCATCCAGCTTAACTGGCTGACATGGACACGGACACTTCACAGCTACATTCAACACCTCCCTGAGAGGTCTGTGTGGCAGACAGCAAAGCTTGGCCAGATGCTTCTCCCAGTCTAGTGTTTCATTTGGCCCAGAAATTCTGGGGGCTGGATCACACAGATCGCTCTGCTCGTGAACACTGAGGGAACTGGTAAATTGCATGGATCAATACTGAGGCTATTATGCTCAATCTTTAGTGTTCCACAAAATTGTGGAAGCAGCCCCTGCTAGAGAGGGAAAAGTGACTTTTTCTGCTGAAATATAGTTTCTGTACTTTACTACATTCCAAACCAGAATGTGTCAGTCCCATGAGACAGCTGGTAAGTGAATAGCATCCACTTTATAGCACATCAGCTTTACTTAAGCAAAGCTCACTCTCTCAGGAAAGATGATACAATTTTTTTGTTCAGCAGAAAAAGCAGCCACCATGAAGCAGTGAATTACATGAAAGCAGCAAGTAATTCACTGGAAGACATTTAGAACCATAGTTCAAATTTACATCTATGCCAGACAGTCATCAAAAAAAAAAGCCTCTGCTAGCAAAGAGAAGGAAAAAATACTGAATTTGTCATTGCATGATCTCATGCCACTTTGCGGACTTTGGGTAATACCAGATTAATCACAGTGGAACACATCAGCAAAGCTGATTTTAGATTTTTAAAGAGAAAGGCATTATATTAGAGATAAAAGACAGCCTCTTCAAACAGTTGCCTGAAACTCAAACTGACCCCCTGACTGATATCATTTTGATGTTGATGAAGATTACTGCTTATGCTTTTCTCTACTGCTATTTCTTCCATTTCTATGTCCATGTCCTGGTTTGGAATAATAACCAGCCAGATTAAAAGGTCATCACTGAAGATTTTGTCTCATATTTCTGGCTGCTTCTCATGCAGGAAACATCATAAACCTCAGAAGAGAGACTGCTCTAAACACAGTTTCCCCCCTAATTTCAACACACAAGAATTTCAGATAAATGAAGATCTAAATACTTCTTGGGCTTCCCAACAGACACTGAAGTTTTCACATCATTTAATGACAAATAAAATATGTTTTGGCTCAGGGTATGGAAAGCACTGAAATATCGTCTGAATATCCCTCCAGAGCAAATGAACAGAAGAAGCTTCTAATGCTTGGAGACCTTGCTGATCAGTGAACCCTTTATTAGTTTGCCTAAAAGTAGCAGAACATTTTCTGTCTGTTTTTCTTAAGGAAAAAGGGTCCCATGCTGCCTTTCAGATATGATAGAGGTGTACTCTAGCTTTACCTGTAAAGCTGAGAACTCACCGTAGCTGAACCACACAAATCTTGCGTGAGAATTCACTTTTGTAAATGAAACAGCATTTATACATCTGTTTGATGACTGTAGACAAGCTCCAAATCAACAAACACTAAAGGACTTTGGACAATGAGGACTATATCACTCTTATTGGATTCATCCCTACCTCATGGAGTGACAGATAAACCTTTTCTGTTCTGAATTTAGGTTGGGAGAAAAGAATCAAGAACTCTTCCTAGCTGAGCCTTCATCTCCATCAGCTAAGTTCACAGGGTGTTTTGGAGATCCTGTCCATTGCTGTAACAGCCCAAAAAGAACTATAAGCATCTCCAGGTGATACTGGTTTTTGAAAATAATCCAAGGGTTGGCTGCACTTTAAGTGAGGAAAGCATATGCCTTATCTTCACTGTTTCTTTGATGATGATAAACTTTGGAAATGCTACCAAAGGGGGGGAAAAAAAAAAACAAGTAGAGTTCATAACTATAAGCTGTGGGTATAAGGCATATTATCAGCTCCTGACCTGATAACAGGCTGTCACATGATACTGCTGATTATTGGTTTTTTTCTGCCTTCTTGATTCACCAAAGATTCTGCCAGTCATCTGAGAGAAAGAAACTAATTTTTCGGTTTTCATTCAGTTCCTATAGCAAAGAGCCACAGTACTGACCTGTCTCAAGTTTAGACATTTCACTTTGTCCTTGATCAAGGAAAATTCCCAGACACACACAACTGAGCTTGTTCCAGATGTGATTACAGTAGTTGCTGAAGGACACACAGCGCAGAGGCACTTTCCCCAGTCTGCCATGCACTCAAATGTAGTCACGTTCTGTACAAGAAAGCAGCTTTAAGTCAAATGCTTATCTGGTGATACCATGCATTTATTAATACCAAATGGCAGATTTAATTTTCAGAACCGAGCCTCCATTTCTTCAAATCCAGGAAAGAAAAGCTCATCTTAACCAGTCTATACTCACAGCACAGCTACATACTATGTACATGCACAGGCTGTGGCTGCATGCAGCTGTGCCATCCTCCAGGGGCCAAACAGGAAGGCTGGACAAAGGTCAGTGTCTTATGTCTTAGGAGACCTGAGTCCCAATCCCTCTTGTGCCACAGACTTCCTACAGAACTTCAGGCAAGTTCATTCTGCCACCATATAGTGACAGAATGCAAGCATTCAATGTAGATTAAAAAGAAAGCTCAGGCTGTGACGGCCACTGTGACGGCACTAACAGAGTTAGTGCCAGGCTCTGCAATCCTCCTCTTACTTAGATTGAAAAGCCAAAAGCCAAAGCACTAAATTCCATTCTGTGCCAACAGCTGTTAGCAACACCAAAACCAGCCTAAACCAAGGTCAGGTCTATTACACATTGCTACAATTATAGCACAAACATCCTTCTGCTCACATTCTGCATTAGCTCTCTCCCACACAACGGGGACAACACTATGGCACTAATGATTCTGGTGGAGCTGGATGGCACAGCTACAAATACCATACCACAGAGAGAACAAACCTTTACCTACTTACAATGAGGGCAAATATTTCTTTTAAGCTCATGTTCAGAGGCACTGTTGACCCGGAGAGAACCCAAGTTGGACTCCCAACTACTTCTCATAGTGAGTGTGTAATCACACTCACTAGGCTCAGTGTTACTAGGCTCAATGACACCCTGACTTTTGAAGAGACAAAACAAATAATTTATGCCTACAGCAGCACTATGAATTGCTAAGCACCGATTTTAATTGAAATCAATGGAGAAAACTCTCAATAATTTTATACAGGGAGTAGAAAGTAAAATACATCTTATGGCTTTTTCACTTCCATTGACTGTGGGTATGTCTGTAAAAATATAATGATGCGGCTTGCACAAATACCCAAGTCAGTATCTTGCTGAATGACATATTCTGCTATTTTGGTACCCAAGCTAACTCAGGTGTCTTTGCGTGTCATAATATTGTCCCAAACACATCCAAAAATCAGTGTGTTTGTGGTAGAGAAAGAAACTGGATCTGTCAAGTGCCCTAACAAGCAGTGTAATGACATAGACCGTTGATTTTTATCAGCAAAGAAGTAAGAGTATTAACTTTGTAGAATAGAAGACATTATTATTTTGAATGAATGCACTGGGCTAAGCTTGGGAGCCAGAGGGGAATTGACAGATGGTCCTATCTTAATTCCAGCAGAAAGTTCTGCACAATGAAATTTCTAATCAGTGGCCAGGAGACCTTGTATTGTCCTTACGACCTATGAAATGGGGTTTCTCCTTCATTTTGATGGACAACACAGTCACTGGAAGGAAAACTTGAGATTATTTAGAGGGGAAATGCCACATTTTTCAGCGGTGTAGAATGACTTTGTGCTCTGTTGGGATATCCAACTTGAGATTCCTCAAGAAGCTTGACTGTGAAAGTCCTGTACAGCATCTTCTAAAATCAGCTCCCCAACAGCCAAAGACCACACATATCATTCACTTCTCGAATGCTTAGACTTTTTGTTATTTACCTTCTCAGACCCATAGTTGCCAAAGCAGCAGGTGAAGTCCTCAAATCCCCAGCAGAATGTTTTGTTCCAAAGAGGAGGAATCAAAACTTTGTTTTTTTCAACAGCCAGAATTCCTTTCTCAGTATGAACAATGTGCCCAATAGCTCCCTTGGGATAGTCTGACAAGACAAAGAACATATTTAATTCTATTGTTTTTCAAGCACTTATGTCACCTTTCCTCCTTGAACAGCTTGTGTGGTGAGGCTGGCAAGTCCCACAACTGGGCTCAGTGCTGTGGCCAGGCCCACAGACAGAATTGCACTCTACAACTGAGATTCCAGACAGAATAATGGAAACACTCCTCTCCAACGGACCACATAAATCCATGCAGAGGGAGTGACGTGCTCCAAAGGAAGGGGTTTAGAGAAGTGTCGTTAAGCTCCTTTTCATTGGCAGACTGCCTTATGCCATGCGCTACATAGGGTGCCTGGCATGTCACCAACAGCCTCTGTTGTACAGCTATGGGAGCTCACTGTCCCCACAAAGATGTGTGATGTAAAGAACACCACCGTGGGATGAAAGAGTAGACACACTGAAATTTTCCAGACTTCTTCAAGGTAAGAAAAGTAACAGACTAAGAAAAAAATGAAGAAAAAGAAAAGATTTGAAGATTGAGAAGTGGAGAAAGACAGACAGTATTTACTTTGCTGTTGAATGTAAAAAGAGAGAATGAGAATTGAAAACGGTGAGCTTTATGTTTCAATTTAACATATTCAGAATGTAGAAGAGAGAAAAGATTCAGGTGTTTTATAAAAAAAAAAATCTGTTCTGAACTCTACAACAGAAGTTTCAAGATTTCTCCTGAGTATTTGAGTGTTTTCAATGCCCACGCACAATACACACATACACAAACAACAATTGGCAGAGGGACCAATCATACAAAGCTGTGTGACTATTTTTGTGCTCTTGAAAATCCAGATTCACCCCATCCAAGAATTCTGCACTTATGAGCTCAGAAAATGGAGCACAGCCCCTGCAGCACCTTTTATTGTAACTGGTGACAGCTTCAGATTTTGCAGGCTGCTCATAAGAGGCGGAAGAATTCCACTTGAGTGAAGGGACAGCACAGTCTCTCTTCCTGATGAACTTTTCCTTTTTTGGATGTGGTTTCGTGAAGAGCTAGAACAAAGGAATGGCATTGAAAAATGAATCTCTATTTGCCAGATCATGCAGGAGAGACATCTGTTTAAATCCTTAATCATAGACTCCAGGACTGTCATACATGAACCTCTTCATTACATTAAAATTTTACCCTTACTACATTTTCACCAGACTACATCCCTTCCTAACAGAGATAGGAAGCTAATCCCAGCAATTCAGCAAAAGAGAGAAAAGTATAGGTGAGACTTTGAGCTGCTGTTATTTGACTGTACCCATTCCCAGACTAGTGGTTTCTCATGTGACTGTACTGAAGGAGCAGAACTCAGATTTGATGCCACAGCTGTATGGCATACAACAGGAACAGAATGATTAGAAAGTGGAATCACACAGATGTATGTGGGTGCATACTGATGTAGTACACAATATGGAGAAGTCTATAGCCCATCTTTCAGCAGATTTAAATTAAAAAAGTCTCTGATTTAAGTTTCTATTCTTGCATTCCAGTTGAAATCCTACAAGATCAAAATAAATTATGCGCTCTACTCTCATGATAAAGTGGTACCTGCTTTGGTATCTGTCCAAAGTTGCTGATAAAACCCAGGATGGTGCTCTTAATCAGAGGATCTTTAACGTTGTTGAGGTCCATCTTGTCTCCATAGAAGTAAGGGTGATAGGTGTTAACTGCCTCCACTGCAGCTGAGCCATGCTGCTTGTGACCAAAAATCAGATCTATCCAGCGATGGAGGTGTGCACTGACATAGTCACTTTCCAGTGCCTGAAACCAAAAGAAAATTAATTAATTCAGTAGAGTGTATCCATTGCAAATGCATTACCACTTTCCAATCCCTGCTGGAGACCTTAATTCTCTGCAAGTGAATCTTCACACTTTCAGTTCCTCCAGTACCATCATTCTCAGCATATCCTCACAAAATGTGACCAAAGAGATGAAAGGTGGATCCCCACAGGAAAAGGAAGGACAGAGTGCAGCATGCTTGACTTAGGAGACACCAGGAGCAATATCCACAGAGAAAACACAGGCAGGTTCCACTAAGCAAGGTGCAAGCACTCCACAGATCTTGGCACGTCTTCCAGCTTCCAGAATACATTAAAGTCTGTGCTATCAGGTCTTCACCAATACTGTTACTGACACAAGATGGTTTAAATGAGGAAAACATTTGTTAGCATTTGGTACCACCACTTTGCTCTATAGATAAACCACAGGTGAATTAAGGTACTAGTCTATTTGTAGAAATATGCCTTAGTTATGAATCACACTGAGTAGCAGAGACTTTATTTGAGAAGATACATATAAACATAGATTGGAAAGGGAATTGACTAGAGGAGGGGCTTTAAGTTGGGTCTGAAGGATACAGCAGAAGCGGCTGCATGCCATGAACCAGCAAAAAGAATGTAGAGCTTGTACTGAAATAGCAAGGGGTGTTGCAAGCCAAGACAGGGAAGGGGTTTTGCAATCGCAGAGTTGGGGTGTGGCAGGGCAGCTGTATGACAGAAGCTTCAAGACTACTTGGGTTTGATCAAGAAACATTTTGCTACCCTTGCAGGGCTTAAGCAGACAGAGTCGCAGAACCAGATTTCCTCATTCTGGAAAAACTCAGGGTCTGAACTCTTTTCCCCAAAATAAGAAATGGTTAACTTTGATTATGTTTGCTACCCACAGTGACAGGTGTGGATTAATGGAACCAGAAGAAACAATTACTACTGGAGAAGACTGGGAGAGATGCTACAAGGCAATACATCCACTCCAGCATGGGCTCCCTAGAAAGCTCAGTGTAATCATAGCAGAAAACTTGTGCTTAGAAGACTCAGACAGCAAGTTCATAAGCAGTGGATACAAGTTTGAGCTGAACCTTTGCCCACCTCCAGGTTAGCCAGCCTAACCCATGAAGCTTCACTAAATGCTACTGCCCCTGCCATCACCTGCCTCACCAAATTTTTATGCATTCCCAAATGGCCTTGCCCAAGGATTCAAGCAGCAGTGTTAAGCATTATTAAAAATACTTTCCTATCTCCAAATCATTTGACTGTGCAATACTCCCTGATGCTCAGTTAAAGGTCTCCCAAGCAGACCATCCCACCCAAGGCACAGCAGAAATAAACAAGCTAATGGGATCCAGAACAATGGCTCATTTCACAGAGCAGAGAGTTAGTCCAGTGCAGCTGGCTTAAATGACCCTGCCCACAGCTATAATGATCACAGGGCAGCTCAGAGAACAAGCACAGCATACAATCTGTCCCCTGCAAACAACAGGAAAACAGTTATGAACAGACTCAGAACTCATCCTCATTAATAAAAACAGTTAGTCCATGAATTACAAACTGTAAATTTTGCCTGGCATCACTGCCAGAGCAAAACAAAGCAACCAACAGAGCTGCAACTGTGCAGCCTTTCAGTATTTCACTGAGCACTATGACAAGCCCAGCCAGGGAGGGAGAACTTGCGGTCTCAGGAGGAAGTAAATAAATTTCTCTAGTAGACTAGATTCCTAACTTATTAAACATGAAACAGGGAGCTACTCACAGTTTTATGTCAAGAACAATTCTTTGCTTTCATATTCTTTAAAGCAATAGCCAAACCTCAGAACAGTGTTGACCTGGATCTGTTCAATGCACCAAACTCTCTGTGAAGCCTCCTAAAAATGACCATTATACCAGTAACAAGTACATCCAGTCTTGAGGATGATTTCAGAAGAGGCAGAAACCCTCATGTTTCAGAATTCAAGATCTCTAACTCTTCACTTCAGGGTTAGATGAACTTTCCCAGGCAGGCTAATCAACTTTCTTTCCACAGCAAGATTTCTTGCACTCTCCTCTGTAACATCTAGTACTAGCTATGGTTGGAGAGAGAATATTGGACTAACTGCACATGAGATCTGATCACGTCTCGAAAATCATTAAGAACATGATTTTTCATTTGCTAAACTGGTCCTATTTGAGATTTGAATTAATTTGTAAAAGTTGTGTGGCTTTATCAGCTGTGCCAATGTTATCAAATAGTGCAGCTCAGTGGAAGCAGATCTGTAGAACAGAACAGATGGTAGAGATGGCCCAGTATCCACATTACGTGCACTGCGGGGGCTTTACTTCAAACTAGATCTAGTCTGCTCCCACAGGCTGAATGCCACCAGCATCTGGAGTGCATAACTGGAGTGCAGCTTTTGGTTTCGTTTCATCCAAAACAAATCTAGTTCACACAATCTGAGATCACTCTACAGTGAGAGCAAAACCATGCTATGCAGGGATGATTGATACATTAATTTCCAAACTGCACCTTTACTCCAAAGTACAAGGCGAAAGCAGATGTTCCTAAGTGTATCTAAGGAACTTAGATGTATCTAAGTGTCTTTGGAGAGCCCACCATTACTGAAGCGGCAAGGAGCACAGCTCAGTACATTACACTCCAAACAAGCCACAATGTAAAAGACAGCATTTCTCCCTATGTTTTTCTTTAAAAAACATCAGTGTAAAATTGCAGCAGCTTTCAGGCATCCATGGATTTCTGTCTGCAGCACCTCTGTTAGAGAAGGACAGTGTTGTCTTTCCCATGTTTGGGAAACTGGAGAACAGAGACTAAGCACCTTGGAAGGTCACAAAGAGAGCATGAGACAGAGCAGAGAAAGGAACCAGAGCACCCCAAAACCTACATGCCTTCATTGGAGTCACGGGGGAACAGCAGAGAACTGTTGCATGTTTTACCTCAGTGGCCAAAACCTATTTGCAGTAGGTAGCACTGAGTTGCTTCCCTGCAAGGGAAGGGATTGGGCACTCCGTAGGCTCAACTCTTCATTTTAGCAAGGACTGTACTTTGAGCAGCAAGTCTGCAGTGCACACAACACTTACACAAGGATCTCCTTCCTCACAGTAGATGTATCATCATGTGGTTACGGGCACTGACAAAAACTCAGGTCTTAGGCGCCTTCAGAGATGCCTGACTCAGTAATACCTATTATGTATGTACAGGAGCTTAAGCAGTTTGAACATGGCTCTTAATCTCTCTGCATCTGAGTTCTTTGGCAAAAACATTCTCTCCTTATCCCCTCAAGCTAATAGGTTGCAAACAGGCACAGGACAGTCTCTGATTGAAAAAAGGAAGGCAGGTTCTGGGGGAAATTCAGACACTGAATAGTGTTTTCTTTCCAAATAAGAACAAAAAGCCCAACTCTCAAATTTTCTCATGTATTAAAATCCTCCCTGCCCAATTCTAAATCAGGAAAAATTACATCCTTGTATTTTACTAATAATGAAGCTATATACCATACAATATTAGTTTTAACAGCTACATCATAAAATAAAATATTTTCAGTTCAGCCTGTAATCTAATATAAACATTGCAATGAAAAGATCATTTTGAAATGTTTTGATAACAAAGACAGAAAGTTGAAATGGTTTATTGAGACATTTTCTTGTTACTACTGACACTCTCATTTCAACCTGACTAGTTTTCTGGTGAAAAACTCTTCCATACATTTTTTTCCCAGACAGGTCTACTCACTGTGTGCTTGTCAGCCCAGTAATACTGGGCTGTGATCTGAGTTACACATATAACTGCTCCAGAAATACAAGGTAAAACAAAGAATAAGAAGATTAATGTAGCTTCTGTAAAGGGACTGATTAGTTACTGAATATGCTGTAAATTCAATGTACCGGCTTAGGTTACTAAACTGTGTGGCAGCACACCACTGAGTCAAGCTACCAGGCACGGAGACACTTGAGACCTGCTAACAATAGTAAGCAGCTATTCTCCACACCACATAACTTGGAATATCATTAATTCGCAAGCTTTTATGTATTGAGGAAGGATTCTGGGACAAAAAAGTGATAGGTGACTACTTTCAATCACATTTTCAAAATGATTGAAAACAACATTTTTAGGAAGTATATATAAAAGTTATCCATTTCAAAATAGGTAAAGTAGCAAGATAGAAATTTAACTATTTTTAAGTATTTTTTTAGCATTATTGTTCTGACACAGATTTAAAGTGAATTGTTCAGGTCATGAATTCACAATAGAGACTAAAGGGAGCCTCTTAATCAATTAAACCAAAAAATGAAATATCTCACTATATGCTCAACAGTCCTAAAAAAAAACAAAGGCAGGACTAGTGCACAAAAAAGTAGTCAAGCACAGGCTCAGATCATATCCACGTTCACTCACAGGAGTAACATGAGCACGTGTGAATGAATCCAGAGTTGAACAGGCTTACTCTCATACTCAGAGTTATTAACAAGCCAAAGTGTTTGAAGCATCAGGAACCTATAGAGACAGCATGGGATGCAGGTGCTACAAAGCACTGACTTGCCTTTGGAATATAATGTTTTAACAACAATCAATTCTTTGCAAAATATGCAGATGATGCACACTACCAGGAGCCTGTTCTCTTAAAACTGGTTTAAATAGAAGAACATTTTCTTCAGGATGGATTCACAGCCCACAGACCAGCTCATAAAGGATTTTTTTTTTTTTTAAACATGGATAAAAATGGCATTGCCAAACATGGGACTGAGGCTAGATTACTGACAGGTGGCTGTAGGGAGAAGGAGATGTAAGAAGAGGCCAGAACAAATCAATCAAACAGATGTACAGGGTCTCAAGAGGGAAAGGAGAGACAATTTAGGTTTGAGGGGTGGAGCCATACAG